ATGTTAGAAATTAATGAATTACACTGAATCTTGAGTGTTCCTTTTCTGTGCTTTCCTGTATTTGGCTTTAGATATAATTTTGCTGAATGGGATTTAAGTCTTTTAAGTGAGAAAAAAATTTTCAGATTATTTTTTTTGGAGTTAAATTCTTAATCATGTAGCACTATTTTAGAGTTCATTGTATGTTTCCCATGTAAATCTAAACCATTATGAAAAGCTGGAAATTTGTCTGTGAAGAGCTTTTAAACAGTCTGAAATATAAATGTGTGAAGACATACACTTGCATTGGGGACAGTTTTTCATCATTTGTCTGTCAGGGTCTGAGGCTTAACACTGAATTGTTCAAAGGAATTTTTAAATACTAAACATGTAGATTAGACAGTAGATGTCATCGATCAGGCACACTTATTATGTGGATATTATGTTGTATTATAATACAGGTTATCAGTAAGTTCAACTTTATCTGCAGCACTTCCTAATTTCTTGCAGTTGTTGAAAAAGGAAATGCATACTATAAAAAAGCATCATACAAATTTTCCTTAGTAATGACTGTAGACAAAGGAAAATCTGCTTCTATATTTATAATTTGTAATTATCCTTATCTTGGTATATTCTTAAAAACTCTTCTAAAGATCTTGGTTTTGAAAGTTAGTGCCAATTACTACAATATTTTTCTTTTGGTATTTGCAGTTAAAATACAACCAAACTTCTCCTTTTCTTTTCAGAAAACGCCCAGTACAGACCTTTCAGATATCCCTGCTCTCCCTGCAAATCCTATTCCTGTTATCAAGAATTCAATAAAATTGAGATTGAATCGGTAAAAACAACCTCAGGGGTCCATAAACAGTATCTGCCAACTCAACCTGTTGTCTTCTAATGCTAGAAAAAAAGGAGAACGGAGGGTGCAAGACTAGAACATGATCACAAATGGATTTAGGTATATTTTGTGCACTTCCCTTTCTGGGCTAAAATCACCACTTGATTGGAAGTCCAGGTTAGTATGTGAAGCCAGGAGTACAATTAATGTGTTAGCAACAGTTGCATTAAATATTTCGAAGGATTACTGCCTTTAAAAACATGAACACTATTTGTAGCCATATTTGACATTCTGATTGAATTTGTTTGATGCATTGTTTCAAAATTGAGATAAAACTGGCATAAGAATCCCTTAAATGCACTTTTATGTACTTTTTTATTGGAATATGACTAATTTTAGATCTTCAGCTGATAACTTTTGTTTTATTGAAGAATTTCTTCAGTAGTAGTAATCTGCAAATTGGATGACGTTCTATGATATATTATACATTGAAAATAAAGTGTATAGTATATCTAGTTCAACTGTCATCAAGCAGCAGTAAGCCTTTAAAATGAAATGTCAAATCTTGAGGTTATAAGACGTATGTTCAGGAAGTAATTGGGAAGTTTTGGTATTAGTGGGACATGATTAAGATGTGGTCTACTTTTGTTTATAGGATTGTTTTAAGGTGCATACAGATCAGCAATCAAACAGCAAATAAACTTTCCTTTGAGCTAATCAAACTCCTTATTCCCTTTTTGATCCTTTTATTTCTTCAGAAAAGCTTTTCTGTTTCATGTTGGGGTGTTTTTTGCAGCTTGTATGCACCGTATAGGACAATAGTTATTTATACAAAATAAAAAAAAGCCAGACCCTCGTTTGGGTCCCCCCCCGCCCCTTACATAATCATAATACCTTGTGGCCTGTAGGCACAAATTCAAAATTTTGTCCCATGACTAAAGTGTTTAAGTAAATATTGGGTGCCTGTGAAATATAACACCTGTCTTGATGGCCTTTGAATCACTAAATATAAGATGATTTTTGTACACTCCATAAAAGTCCTGTATGCATTGAAAAGCTTCAAATTTTAAATAAAGGCAAAAAGATTTTTCCCTAAGAATTTTAACCTTTTTATTTTTAGATGACTCATCAGAAATAGTTTTACATACTGAACAACATTGAATTTTTAAAAAAATCATATTTCTAGTAAGCACTTGACATCTAGTAAGCTCTCTACTCCTCTTTTTTTTTTGTTCTTGTAGTCCTATCAAAAAAGATAAGTAACAACTTTTTCTTTTGAAAGAACTGAATCTCTCATGGCAAAGAACAGCAGTATTTGACGGACGTGAGGGATACCAACAGTAATGCCAGATGTAGATAACAAACTTCATGTTACTATTACTTAAGTCTGAAATATGTGGGATGTCAAATCATACTTCCCATACTTTGATTAGCATGTTTTATGAACTCCCTTCTCCCGTTGTGCTCCATCCTATTACACGTGCATCTTTCATGTTAAAATTAAATTACTTACACTCTTCCCCTTATCCTTCTAAATTAATTCTCCAAAGTCAGAGTGTAGCTTATCTTTTACTTAGGCTGTGCAGTAACCGAAGGGGTTTTTTTTGCCATTTGTCTAAGATGTCTAGTATACAATATTTCTCTTTTCCTTGCCCTGTGCAGCCTGCTGTCGTCCACCCCCCAAAGAAGGTTATATTAACAGTTGAAGTGTACAAGGTGTCTGTGTATTTTGTGTAGCTATGGAGTTTAGATCGAAATTGCCAGGCACAAATTTAGTCTTGTCATTTTGTTTACACATCGGAAAATCTTTTTCATTTTATTAAACGTTTCATGTAACTGCACCCAAGTTTTGCCAAGCTGGAAACTTGGAACCTTTCTGTATAGTGACTTTTTAATTCTAGTTTTCATAACCTGGAGATCAGACTGTTGCTTTCGCATGATGTACGTAGTGTCTCATGACTGGAGTTTGCTTTGTTTTATAGTATCTGTACTCCTTGTATTTTTCAAGAGCTATTTTGTAAACAGATGATGTATTTCTCCATTGAAAACACAATAAAAAACAGCACAATCCCATAGTTGTCTGATTTTTCTGAATGTACAAAATTGATTATACTCTCTCTTAATTCATCCTTGGCTCTTAAATTTTCTGCTAAGACAAAATACAGTATGGCCTTAAAGAAATATACATAAATGGATGTTCTCTAAATAAGCGTGATGTTTGACATAGGAAGTGGAAGTAACACTCGGCAGCATGTTGAGTTCCAGTCTGTTAAAGGGGAAAGGTTGTGGATTGTGCAGTGGCTTGGTGGGGGCAGAGTTTATTGCCCCCAAAAAACCCCAAAACCAAACCAAAACCCCAAACCAACTATTTTAAGAGCATCTGTTCCTTGTCTCCTGATTACGAGTCCAGCTCAAAATCTAGTTCTGTCAGCTTTTAAGAATTTAAGACGAAACAATTTGGGGCTATACTATTTTCTTTAAAAGTTTGAACTCCATTTTTTTTAAAACAAGTAGCTGTAACAGTTTTGGCATCTTACACTTGCTTTTCTCTCGAGTGACTATTTCTTGTGTCAGCAGATGGCACTGTTTCTCTTCTTGTCAAATAGTTGAAGCTTGCCCTGAAATAAAAGTAAAAATTACCAGTAGCTGTGCATCACTTGATTGATCTTTGTATCAGCGTGAGCCCAATCCTCCAAATGCTTGATGTGAGTAACTTTAATAAGTAGCCTCCTTTTGACTAAAATTTCTTTAACTGCTAAACCCACTGATGATTATGGTCTTCATATTATAATTATCCTGCCTAAAACAATAAACCTTTGTGTTGTATATATTTTTCACAGCATGCAACTGCTTGTCTCGTTTAGAACAGATTCATCATCTTTATATCTTGCCCACCCCTCTCCCTTTCATCACAGCTGATGTTATTTATGGCTTTAATTCCTCTCTTATTTTCTCCGACCAATAAAAATCTGCTAGTAGATATACAAATTTCTGTTCAGTGTTCCTCAATCTACTGGCAGTAGGCTTCAATAGGCTTGTTTTTCTGAGTTACCCGTCATGAACCTCCCGAAGTAAGTTCACGGACTCATAAGGATCTGCAAACAAGAAGCTGAAAAGTACTGTTGTAGCCAAAATAATTAACATTAATAAGCCATGGTTCTAACAGATGGCTTTAGACATACTGATTTGAATCAGACATTTGAGTTGATGAGTTCTAGCTAAAGTTGTGCTTCCTTGCCGTAAGGTAGTATGTGTGCATGCCATTTCTTAATGCATTTTTTTTTTAAACTGCAAAATCGTGAAACTTGTAGCTGCAACTATATAGTAACGGAGTGGTAATGAGTATCAATTGATAGTAAGTGTACCTTAATGAGAAAACCAATTTTAATCAACAATAAAATTTAAAACGGAGTTCTTCAGCTTCTAGAATAACAACAAATAATTCAGTATAGCAAGAACACGCTAAATAGTATAGGTGCTGGCTCGGTAATTAAATACAAGAAAAACTACTGTGGTAGTTACTGAGGAAGCAGAGTATCCTTATTTTCTCATAATACATTTTTTTTTTGAAGGTATGTGCATTTGTACAGAAGGCATTTTGCATGTTGAAGTGATCCTGGCATCCTTATGGAACTCTGTAAATGCACTGGTCAGGCACCTTTGCTGTGCTTAATCTCTCTTTGACATCACCGTGGCTGAACAATACTTACCAAAAATTTTGTCGCTTAAAAGCTTGCAAGTCCTTATAGTACACTCACAAATGTCTGCATACACGTACATTAGCTGAGTACTTGGTAGGTTCGCTTTTTTTAAAGATCCAGTGTTCCTACTGGAAAAACATCAGTAATAAACTTATTTTTAGTTTACTTTAATAATCTTAGTAGAATTAAGGATCTGTTCAATAGGAACAAAGCATCTTGGATTTGTTGATAGAGGCAGATGCAGTTTGATACGTCTACAAAGTTCAATCTAATAATTTGAAATATCTACAAACATCAAACATCTGCCACAATCATCACCAAAAGAATGCAAACTTTGATATCAAACTTCAGAGGGCATGTTTCATTATGAAAAAGATAATATGATGAACCACTGCTGGATGTCCCATCTGCTTTTTGGATATTTAAACTCTTAACGTTTTTTTTTTTTTAATAAAGTTTAGGCATATTTGTATTGTTCTGACTAAATTCTAGAATGCTGCCTTTAGGTAACTTCTTTTTTTCTTCCTCCCAAACTTAATGAACTAACCAGATCACAGTTCTGATTCAGCGTGTCTGGGGGGGCTTTTTAATTACCTCAGTATTTTTATGACCTCTGTATTCTGGTGGCATGTTTAAAATAAACTAAGAATGACAATGTCATACACATTTCATTAAATTTTTAACTCTAAAGATACTGAATTTAGAAAAAGTCACATTTAACAGCATACTAATGCTTGGAAAGAAACTGTGTGATGGTGTATGCAGATATTGCCAAGCTTGCTTTTTGTACTAAATCACTGTCTCTAAATTTAAAGAGCCAAAATTCGGGGAAGTAATAGGTAAGGATAAAGAGGAAAATTACTATTGATGTAAGGTGATAAAAATGCCAACTTGTTGGGTAAGGAAAGCTGCATTTATTTATTTAACTTAAGAAAATGGCCAATGCATTTAAACTGCCCCATAATAACTGTGGCCCACACAGACACGGGGCAGCTTACAAGTGTAAATGTCTTTTTGTCTGTCTTATTTGTGAGCTAGCCCATCTACTTTGTGGATGCATTTTAGGTTTGTATTTTTAGAAGGAAATTTCCTCAATAAGGCTACTTAAGCAAATGTTTTACACACTTAAAATCTCCACATCAATTCAATCTTTTCAAGTTCATCTAGGATTATTTCTGTGACGTTTGCTTCAATTAGGGTAATACACTTGACTTAAAACATAAAATTATTGAAGTTGAATGGAGCGTTAGGTCACGTACCCTTCATTGATCGGGCATTTTGGATGGCATTAAAATAAAATGGGGGGGGGGAAACTTCCCCCCTCCCCTACCGCTCCCCAATTTGAAGTTTGATTCTAAGTAAATATAGCAAATGTGATACTTCTTAAAACAGCATGGAAGAGCTTTGTGCCACAGCTTCTGCTTCAGCGTGACTGAAACCTTGCCCTGCGTGGTGCCTGATGCCGTGCGCCTTCCAGAAATCTGGCATGCGCGTTGTCCTTGTTTGCATTCTCAGTCTGCAGCGGAGCTGTTAATAAAGAGATTGATGATAAAGTTGTCGAAAAGAGACAGTTGGACAGGACTGCTCGCCATGAGTGACAGAGGGCATGCTCTGCCTTCACAGCCAAGAAGGTTGCCCCCAGCAGAGAGCTGGCCATGCCTGGACGATGTGCCAAGCCTGCTCCGCGCGGGGGGGGAGGAGTCTGTGGCTTACAGGAAGGATTTCTACTAAATTTTCAGCCTGCGTTCTTAAAGTGAGATTTCCTTTATTTAGCATCGTCACACCATTTTTTAAAAACTTCATGGCCTCTTGAGAGCAAATGCAGTCTCAGCGGCGATACAAAGGCTAGTGCAGATAAGTTCTGAAATTTTTGTGAATGATCTGCTAGGACTTTTAAAATATTTCATTGCAGTCTGGTTCAATGAAGTGAAATAGAGATCCCTTGTTCTTAAAATTAACATTTTTTGCTTTTATGGGGAATAAATGCATTATTCATGTACTCAATCTAGATATTAGCTTCTATAGGAATCTCCCTGCCAAGATGTCGTAAACTTGATTCAACTCAGTCACATGGTTAGAGTAAGAGAAGCCCGGAATGATGGATGGAAGCGTTCATTGTCTCAGCCACAGTTCATCATGTATAATTTTTATCCGTCACAATGTAAGAAACAATAAGACTGATAAAACATTTGATAGTTTAGGCCATCTGCTCACGTAGTATCTTAGAATTATTAGTGATTATTCCTACTGTTTCTTATCTTCGTCCAGAACAGTGCGTGGATTTTCTATACACTAGTGATCGCTCTGACCCCTAAAGGCAGTATCTCATCGAGGAGTACTTTTTTTTTCTTGTAGCATCTACTCCTTGTAGGCAGTGAGATAAAAAGATCCTCGCAACCCTAATCAAGAACGATGACTGAAAAAGCAGTTCCAATAGCCTACACTTTAGTGTTTTGCTTTTGAATGTATTTACAGGAGGAAGATCAGTCCTTTTGGTCTGATTGCGTTTTAAGTGGTGGTGGATCATCTGTGGACGAATTGTACAAATACTGGTATAGACTTTTTCCAGGTTTATTTCCCGCAGGGTGTTGTTTCCTAATTTTTTTAAACTGGATTGAAATATGTAGTAGTTTACCAATGAATTAATAAATTTGTTCTTTACATATATGTATTCTATCCCATTCTTAAAAAAAAAAACCAAAAAACAAACCCTAAGAAAAGGGTGTCTGTTCTGTGAGCCTTTGACCTAGACAGAGACAAAATCTTGTTTTGTAGTAGTTGCTGTGAATAAAAAAATGTTGAATTGATGTAGCAACATTTTTCCAGTAGTTGATATAGGCACAAGGAATTTCTCAATTTTTAAATTTTGCATCTTGACTAAGGCTACTTTAAGAGAAAAAAAAATATTCAAAATTTGTTTTATGAAAATGTAGGTTTACTTCTGGAGAATCTCAAGCCTGTCAGTTAACTGACTGATTGTGGTAACTTAAGAAGTTTGGTTTAGGTTTTTTTTTTAGATGTAGGGATATAAGCTCATTCACTCTCGTGTTTGTTTTGAAGGTGTAGGAATTGGTTCATAGTCTCAGTAGCGTGGCTCTGAATGGAACCTGTCTGCCCAGAAGCTTCTGTCTTTGCAGATGAAGTCAAAATGGCAAGTTTGATCGAGTACCATTAGGACTTTCTTTTTTCATCTTACAGACTGCTTTCGTTTGATTTACTATAGTTGTATTTTTTAAAATACAGGTAAGTCACACTTTGAGTTGTTGTGTTCACCACAGAAAGTTGATTTTTCTTTCTGGCCCATTAGTTTTTCAAAGGTAATTTGAACATTTGATAGGTAAGTAGGCTTCTATTTTTGTTTAAAATAGAGATATCTTTACTATTTGTTAC